GAAACTATTTGAATTTATTATTTTTATTAATCTTAAAAATTAATGTTTGTTTGTTAGTGAGGCTAAAGAATGAGAAGGGCTGGACCAATCTGGATGAAATTTTCAGAGGATATTTTTTGTGAATCCAGAAGGGCTTGGAAATAAAAAAATCTTGCATGTTTCCTCAGGAAAAATCGAATATTTGGAAAAATCCAAAAAGTTAATTTTTCATATTTTATTTTAATTTTTTTTTTTGTTAAAATTTTTTTTTCTTTTAATTTATTAAATATTACTTCGATTTGTTTCGATGTTCGGTGTTTGGTACGATGTCTGTCGTTTGTCCACATTGAAACTTGCATTTGCTAAGACCATCAATAGGTCACAAGGACACTCGCTGGTAGCGTGAGGCATAAACCTGTAAATGTAATGTTATACGCCCTACCAACTATACGAGGCGTGTCCACTTGTTGGAGAACAATCTTCTCTGTACATTTACGCAACAGAATAGAGTACAAAAAATATTGTTTATCAAGCTGTTTTATCTTCAGCTCCCGATTTTCAAAGAATTTAAATTCAACTTTCTTTTCTTTCCAAAAAACATAATTTCACGCAGGACAACGCCTGTGGGGTCAGCCACTATACATATATATTTAAATTCAAATCATAATTTTGTACTAAAAATTGGAGAAGCCTTCAATTGAGTACTTCATTCAGTACGAGTCATTTTAATTTAGGAAAAAAAAATTAAAGAAAATTTACAAATTTTACACAAAGAAGTCCAACAAGCGCCATAAGGAAAACTAAATATGTATGTACTTTAACTGATTTTTTTTTCGAAAATTATCTGTGTTGTAATGTGTAAAAATTTTGAATCTTTAAATCTAGCTTTCGAACAGTCAATAAACGCCAATTAGTGAGACTTTCAACCGAATTTCGCCAAAAAAAATTCGTTAGCTTTAATAAATTTCCGTTATTTTCCCCCCTTTTCAGCTGCAAAATTAAAGACATTTTCCCAACACCACGAAAATCCATTGACCAAAAAAAAAAAAAAACAAAAAATGTTGTCTCTTCAATACTGACGACAAAAGCTGATGATCGCCTCGCCGTGCGTGCATTACCAATACCAACAGCAATTGGAACAACAACAGCAACAACAACAGCACAATAAAAGTCGCCAATCAATGCGGAAATCATTTGCATTGTTCGACACACGTTGTGTCGCCTGGCTACATTGTGAAGAAAGAAAATGTATATATACGAGTATATATTATATATGTATGTATGTACTATATAATATATAAATGTTTTCCATTTCTCAGTAGCGCACGCACTGCGTACCAACAACAATAACAGCAACGTCACTCACTATTTGCGAATTCCATTTTACACTTTTATTTTATTTCAATGACTTTTCTTCCTTGCCACACTTACTTGTGTGGCATCTGCCATCATGTGGCACGTTTGAATGTAGATATGTATGTTTGTACGAATGAGCAGCATATTGCATTTCGACACGCTGTCTTACAATAAATTTCATAACAAATTGCTAATACTTACAACATTAATGTTGTCGCATTCGTCGTTGGCAATGTTGCAACATGCTGATGAGCAACATACTGATTAGCAGGCAGCAGCAGGCAGCAGCGGCAGCAGCTATTCGATTTGACAGGCGGTTGTTGCTATTTCTTTTGCTTGAAAATATTGTTATTGTTGTTGTTGTTGCTGCTATAGTTGTTGCCTGCAGATGTTGTCGCTGTTACTGTCACTTTTGGCGTCTCCACAAATGCGGACCACCGATTGTGTGCCTCTCCGGCATGTGGTTCTTTCTGTACTTTGTATGTGACATTGATTGAATTTACTCAGATTTTGCTTTGCTCATAAAGTGTCTTGATAAGCCGCAATGTGTGGCAGTTGATTTGTTTTATTTACTTATCTCGTTCTTTGCTTTCATTTCTACTTCCAATACCAAGTAAGATCTAGATATTCTAGAAAAAGGCGAAAAAAGAGAATATACGTCCGGTTTCTCAACGCATCTCGACATTTTTAGTTTGTTTGTCAGCAAATGCGTCTTGCTTCCCTCTTCAGCTCTCGATATCTACCCCATTCCGCACGTGTTGGGGTCGATCGCAAGGTTGCGCTCTAGGTAATCTGCATTCTCTCCACCGCAACTCGGCAGTCAGCTGTTTTCAGACCTTTCCGAAATCCAATAGTTTCGTTTGCAGCTGCACGTAGGGAGTTTGAATTGTCGTGCCACATGCCCCGTATACCGCTGCAACAAGATAGTGTTCCGAATTGATTTTCAGCTCTCGGAATGTACGCACGTCAAGAACACTGAATACATGTCTTCCGCCAATCACAATATGATCGATCTGGTTCTGTGTTTTGCGATCAGAGAACAGCCAAGTAGCTTGATGTATTTTTTTGTGCTGGAATTTAGTACTACAGACAACCATATTTCGGGCTCAGTCGAAGTCCATCAGCCTCAACCCATTAGGAGATTTTTCGTTGTGAAGGCTGAATTGTCCAACAGATACCTTCTTTGCCCACCCTGGCATTAAAATCGCCAAGCACGATTTTCACGTCGTGTCGGAGGCAGCGCTCGTAAGTATGCTCTAGGCGTTCATAAAAGGCATGTTTGGTCAAATCGTCTTTCTCTTCCTTCGCGGCGTGGGCGCAAATCAATGATATGTTGAAAATTTTGCTTTGATGCGGATTGTGGCAAGACGCTCATCCGCCGGGGTGAATGCCAGTACTCGACGACGGAGTCTCTCTCCCACCACAAATCTGACAACAAATTTGCGCTCCTTTATACGGCCACTGCAGTAAATGTCACAAGAACCTACTCGCTTTCGTCCTTATCCCGTCCATAGCTCTACTTGGACAGCGGTGATGTCAGCCTTTATTCTCACGAGGACATCAACCAGCTGGGCAACGGCACCTTCCCAATTAAGATGCCGAACGTTCCAGGTTCATACCCTAAAATCGTAATCCTTGAATTCGTTTGCATGGGTTGTCATCAAGAGAGGGTATCTCATTGAAGGCGTTGTTCTGTTTTTCATTGAAGCTGTTTTTAACGTGTCGGGTCTTTCATAAATATCCCAAGTGAAGTGGAAAATTCAATGGATTGAAATTCTGTAACAAGAAGAGAAAGATTTTATTTGTTTTGTAATCAACAAATTTGTATCGGTTAAAAAAAGCATATTGAGGACCTGACCGCAAGCCGTTGTGTGAGCTCCCCATGAATAAAAACTAAGGTTTTTTGAACAGTTCACTCGATTTTTTTTAGTCTTTTCCAGCCATGCCTCCGTAAGGTAGAAGCTAGGAGCATCGTGCACGGTGCGATGTTCCAATCGGCTGCATGCCGAACAGCAAAACATGGAAAGTGCTCCACCATTTCGTCTTCTTCCGGGCATGTTCTCCGCACAGATCCACATGCCACCTTATCCAGCTTGTAAAGATGAAATCTCTACTGTCCACGCTTTCACTCAATAATTTATTGACACATCCTAAGTTGGAAGAGTTTCAAGACCTTCAGTGCTCGTCCGGAGTCCAGTGTTTTAAACTCAACCTAGCCCTTAGAGAGTCTGGCGAATCACTATCGGTATATGTGTAGTCTGAAATTGTCTTGTTGGAATACAATGCCTCTCCTGTTGGCCAAAACTGTTCGCTTTATGGGAGCTGCTGACATACAATCCCACCAACAAACACAATAAAACCTTTCTCACCGTCAATTCTAGCTTGAAGACCGTTTCTGCTGGCTCATTGCCTCTCGACCACGAAGGTTATGGTTTGAAGTTGCTGTACGACTGACAACCGGCTTCAGGAATGAGTCGATTTTGTTTCGTGAACATTCGGTATATGTGGTTTTCTTTGTATATTCAGCCTTTTTCAAGTAGTTCCAAATGGTTTTTTGTGCAATTCTCAGCTCTTGGGCAATCCAAACAGTACTCGCATGATGATCAGACTCGGCGATTTGCATTATTTTATCGACATTTTCGCCGAAAGCGAAATTGTGCATGGCTGACTGGCTGACTGTTACAGTGTCAGGACCATAAACATTATTCGTTTTCGGCTTTATCGATCTTCGATATGCGCTCGAGCACTACTGAGTCAAGTAATCAACACTTCTCTCCCTTTTTTTTGGTAGTAAAAAATATCGTCCTTCCAACGCCATCTGTAGTCCAATCTCACTTAGAGAACGCAAGATACAGATTCCTAAGGCTATAATGGAATAATTTTTACTAGACCTAACATTTTGGAAGTTTCGTCTAACTTAACTTTCTTTCTCAAGAAATAACAAACAAACAAAATCCTTTTTTTTTTTAGGAGAAAATCGCATTCATTGAACTTTAAAGCACGCGCTAATCGATGGTATTTTTGTGTGTTTTTATAATACTATTTTTGTTCGTAGACAAAATCACCTGTTTTATTATAATTTCATGTATTTACTAAATTTTATTTTTAGCCTTTTTTTAATTTGTCAAATGCAAAATTTTGATGTTGCATGTGTTTAACATGCCGCTGAAGAAAAATTGTCACTTTTACTTTGACAACGCAATGTTTTATTCAATAACCAGACGCTAAAAATGCGTGTAAAATTTTAAAATAATTCCACGCGTTGCCAACTGTTTTTCTTTTTTTTTTTTTGAAATGCCGCTAAGCGCCCACACTCCGAAAATTTTGTATACAGAGCGACAGACACTGACGCTCAAATGGTGACTTGGGAGATTTGGGAGATTTTCTCCACAAACCGAGTTGCTCTTATTGTTTGAGCACAACAATCAGCTGCTTGTTGCTGTGGAAAATAATATCTGATTTTTTTTTTTTTGGTAATTATTTTACGCTCTACTCTCTCCTGTTGCAAATTGGGAGCGTGTTGCATTGCCGGTTTATTGCTTTTGGACTTTTTAGTTTATTTAATTTCATTTTCTGTGCTCGTACTCTCACGCAGACTTACAGCGCATTATCTGTTTACTGCTTATTGCTACGAGCATCTGCTAGTTCTACCACACGAGCGTTGGCTAGCAGCCACTAGCCACTTTATTTAGCACCGCTTTTAGTACTTCTTTTATTTTCCATCTGTGCGCTCAGCATAAAAACCGCTCGCCTACCTGTATACCACTCCGAAACTCTCTGCCTACTTTTCGGAGTTAACTTAATGCCTTAACAACTCACTCGCTCTCTGAAAAAATATAAAAATTATTGTGCTTCTTTCTTTCTTCACTTCTGCCACTCATATTTTCGAATTGGTCATTTGTTTTGCTGACTACCAACTCACTTGCGTTTCAAACGAGCGACGACTGTTGACGCGTTTGCACGAGCGAATCGGCGCGTACGCGTTTATCTGTCAGTTACAAAGATACAAAACTAATTGAATTTTCGAGTCGAATTTATCGAGCGAATCAGTAGATAAATAAAATCGTTGGAAAAGTAATAAATATTGGCAATAAAACAAAAAAAAAAAAAACGAATATTGCTAAGAAGTAAAAGAATATTTCAACCCTCTTATGACTTGTGCCGCTGTTTTTGTAATTTTATAGTGTGCAGAATTATGCCCAAGTGTTAGTATAAGCCACATTTTTGTTGGTATTTCTAAAAGAGAGACTTTGTTTGTGAGACAGTGTTTGACAAATTTATAAAAAAAAAAGAAGAAGAAGATGTGTTAATTACAGAAACTGGTGAAATTTGTGAAAAATTTTATGCAAAAATAAATATAATAAATAAAATAATAATAATAAATCAAAAATTTAAATGAAAAAAATCAAAATTTTTTACAATAACCTAAATGGAAAATCATAATTTGATTTAGTTAACTCAATGAGCGTAGCCTAAGAAGCACGAATTTTTATTTTTTTTTAATGAAAAAAAAAAATTTCATCGAACCAAAACTTTAAAAATAATTATTATAATATTTTTATGCAATTTCAATGCATGAAAATATTTTTTTTTTTTTATAAAAATTATTGTGTGAATACCCTTACTCAAACAAAAAATTTTAATTCGCTCAAACATTTTATTGTAAATAAAAATTCAAGTTTCCACTAACTGAATTTAATATATTTATTATAAAAATTTAATATATATTATATATATATAATATATAGGAGTTTATTCTGTGAATACCCCGCCTGCTGGCTTCCGATCGATTTTATATAAAGCGTATACATTAAATAAAATGAAATTTTCCAACTGTAATTTTTTATCATTATTAATATTTTTTGCAACGAAAAAATTTAAAAATATATTTTTTTATCACTTAATTATTTTACAAAAATTATTTGCGTACAAAAACTCTTTGGCTTAGAATATTTCAACATTTTCAATTTTTACTTACAAAATATTAAAAGCTTTTAAAAATACCAATCTCATAAATTCATTTAAAGTTTCGAAAATTTTATTCAAAATGCTTCATTTATTAGAAAGCTTCAATGATAAATTTGACTGCTGATTTGTTGGATTTTATATAAGGCTGCCAATTTGTTATTTTGAATGTCATAAGTGAAGAAAAAGTTAAAATTTATACTTCCATTTCATTTAAAGTTGCTCTTTGTAGGCTAATAATTTACAAAAAATTCTTTCGAAATTTGTATTGCATAAAATATTACTGCATTCGTATGAAACTAAAACAAAGATTTTTGATTTTGTGAATACCCAATTTAATACACATTAAAAATTTTATTACAAAATGCGATACAAAAGCATATTTCCTAACAATAAAAAATATATAAATATTTTTAAATCAAATTTGAAATTTAAAAATTAGCGACATCGTGAATGCACCCATTAAATATTATTAATTTTTATAATAAATTATGTTAGCTAATTTTCTTCACTAAACTTAATTCAAAGCTAAAAATATATTAAAGATATTTAGATTTAAAAAGTTAGTTTTATTTGCTAAATGTTAATGGAAAATGTCTTTTTTTTAACAAAAAATATCTAATTACACATTATGAAATTTGAAAATAAATAATATGCTTCTTCTTTCTTAAAACTTATTTCATAGTGATATAAAATTATTCAAATGCACATTTTTAAGGCATAACCAAGCCAACAATTTGCTTGCCAAGATTTCAAGCGACCTTAGGATAAGTTAGGTTAGGTTGGCTTAGGTAGAAATGTCTGATCCCAAAAGAATACTACATTGACCCATAAAACACGTCCGTTGCGGCGCCTTAGTATTATAAAAATGGATGAAATACACTTTATAATATTTAAAACATAATTTTGTTTAATTATTTTTCGCAGTAAATTAAAATTAAAAATTAAATTAAATTGAAAATTACAGCGCTTCGTAAATAACCAAAAAAAAGTTCTGCAGCAAACACTCGCTTTCGCAAATTATTCTTGCTTTCATACAGTTTTTATTTTGGAAAAATCGTTTATATTTTCCAATTTTCACTACCAATCACTCCATAATTTTTATTTTACTCTTTTTTCGTACAAAAAAGTCGGAATTTTTGAAATTAGCTTACAGGAAAAATGCCAACAAAAGTTCATTCAATGTTCATTTAGTCTCTCTTCACCTATTATTCATGCATCGTGAATACCCGTATTACATAAAATAGTATAAAAATTACAAATTTTCCAACACAGAAATTTTCATAACATCACAAATTGACTTTTCTCGGCAAATATATTTTTTAAATTATTTTTTCTCTAAAAGTTTTCATATAGCAAATATTTTGAATATAATTAAAATACATACATATATATACATTTCAATAATTAACGCGAATATTTGCGGATATTCACGACTTCCGAGTATTTAAAATTAAAAAGCTTATTTTTGCAAAATTTAGTGCATTTTCAAATTAATTTCTTTACATATTTTTAGCTCGCGTGCATTTTTATTTATTTATTTATTTATATACAACTTCCCTTGGTGACCGTGGCGTGAACGCGTGTGTGTTTTCATTTAGTTAACCCAGCAACAATAAAGACCAGAAAAAAAATAAATAAATACTAAAACAAAAAAAATGCAACAGCTTACATACATACATACATACATATTTATATACATATGCATTTACATATGTATGTCATAAAGATTAAAAAAAAAAGTCAAAATAAAACAAACTAACCAACAACAAACAAAAGTCAACTTTCCCCTTTTTATGCGCTTGCTTGCAGTGTCACTGTTGTTTTTTTATTTACTTGTTGTTGTGTTTCTTTTTTTTTATTATTTATTTATTTCTGTTACCATCGTCACCAACGTTGTATTTTGTTGATCGGTACTACTGTCGTGTCTTAACGTTTGTATGGCGTGTTAACTTGACTTTTACGATGGCTTATATGCATATACATATATGACATATGTATATATGTATGTATGTGTGTTTGTATTTATTTGTCGGCAATGCGTTAGCGGGTGAAAAATAAAAATAAAATGTATACAAAAAAAAAAACAAATGCAAACCAACAAATACACGTTTTCGTGCAAAAAGACTGTTAAAATGTTTAAAAAAAAAGATATTAATAAAAATTAGAAAATTCATAGTTTTGCATTTAGCTAATGTTGTTGCTGCAGTTGGTGACTGAAAGAACAAGAATTTTTATACAAAAAAAATTGTTTTCAATATACATAAATAAAATAAAATTAAAAAAAAAATTAATAAAAAAATTAATGAAAAATTTAAAATTTACAAAAAAAAAAAAATAAAAAATTATTTAAATAATATTAACGCAAAAAAATATTTAGAATTAAATAAAAGCACTTCTTCAAAAAAATTTGGAAAAATTTTGTAAATTACATATATTGCTATTATACTTTATTATACTTTTTATAAATACAAATTTTATAACTGATAAAAGTTTAAACTAGAAATTTCAAAAATACAAAAAAATATAACTATAAACGTAAACAAAATTGCTAAACTTTTATAATCATAAAAAAATTTTACAATAAAAAATATTGCAAAAATGTAAATAATTTATAACTGTTAAACATAAACAAAAAAATCCACCTTCACCAAAGCGAAAATAAAAATGTAAAATAAAAATATAAAATAAGCAAAAGTCGCAAATGCATAAAAATCAAGTTTATAATGAAGTGTAAAATAATGCGCATTTCTTTTTTTGTATTTTCTTTGTTTATTTTTTATTTTTTCCTTGTTCATGCTGCTACCTCGTTGCGGTCAAGCAATCAGCTGCGCAGCAATAAAATGCATAGATAAAGATAAAGCAAAGTCAATAAATTAGTCAAATATACAATAAAAGGGAAACAAAGTTCAAATTATAAAAAAAAAAAAAAAACAAAGAAAAATTTGATACCAAAAAAAAAAAAAATTGTACGAAAAATGCATTTTTTATTATTTCTTTGTTTTCAATTTTGATTGCGCTTGGATTTGTTCGTTGCATTTGCGACTGAAGCAGCTTTTTTCTTCTGAAAAATTATTTGTTTGTTTTGCTATTACTGCGATTCATTCATAATTTTCTCATTATTCTTCTTTATTTCCATTTGCTATATGTATTTTTTTTATATTCTTCTGGAATTCCAAAATCAGCCAATTCCGCGAAATAAAACACCAAACAAGGCAAAATTAAAAGAAAAAAAATAATTAACAGTGCAAAAATACCTACGTCATGAAAAACGGTAATTTTAAATGCCATAAAGCGCTTTTAGCCTACCAAAAGTGAAGCTTAAAAGCGAATTTATTGTTAAATTGTGAAATTGGTGAAAAATATATAAAAATAAAAAAACAAACGAATACCAAAACTACGTTAGAGCATTGCAACCGATTTTTTTTTCTCTTTTGAAACGAAAGCGCCACAAAATTTTTTCAAAACAACGAAACTGGATTCTGCCATCGTGGATACTATAAGTCACTTGAAAATGGTCTTTGGTGGCCGTTTTCGCATCAGAAGGTGGGTAAAATCTACAACTCTTTTGATTTTGAGTTTATAAAATAATTTGGTATTGAACTCAAAAACGTGCATTCTAGAAATGGAGGAGCTAAAATTTTTCAAAAATTAATATCCTTTAGCATATAAAGATAATCCGAGTGAGAAATATTATTTGAGGAGTAAGAAATATGATTGCTGATTAGTATTTCAAATAGTTAATTATAACTGTATTTCAATTATAAAAAAAAAAAATCACCATTCACGGCGTGTTTAATGTTCAGTAAGCCAAAGAGTTTAAGAATTTCCGTTTTCACTAATTACTCATTTATTTCAGTACTAGTGAAGTGAATAAATATTTAAAAATAAAAAGATTTCATAGCTTATACAATTAACTTAGAAAATTAAGAGAAGCGATAAATAAATAAAAATGAAAAAAGTACAAAAATTAAGAAAATAATAAATAAGCTATAACATTTAATAAAAAAACAAAAAAATAAAATTAAATTTATTTTAAAAATGCTAGAATATAGTAAAATACAAAATTGAAGAATTGGTAAAAATAAAAATGCAAAAAAAATTACTAGAATAAAAGACAACCTAAAAAAATTAATACGAGGTGTGTTCAAAAAATGTCGCGAATTTTGTGTTTTTTTCAAAAATTATTTATTTATCCATGAATATCTATTTTGTCCCATTCAAAGTAATCCCCATGAGATATTATGCATTTGTGCCAACGGTTTTTCCAATCTACGAAAATAAAATATAAAAGAATATTGAAAAAATAAATACGAGTATAATACAAATAAAATAAATAATAAGGAAAAAAACAAAAAAATAGATAATATACCAAGCAACCACTAAAAATATAAAAAATGAATAAAAAAAAAATATACAAAAATAAATTAACAAAAAGAAATAACTAGCAGAAAAAACAAGGGAAAGAAATACCAAAAAAAGGGAGAAAAAGATGAGAGTTACACTAAATTAAAAATAAAAAATAAAAAAATAAAATTAATAAATTTGAAAAAAATTACAAATTATTAATTATAAAATAAATGGTTTTAATAAAAAAAACAATTAAGAAATACAAAAGAAAAATTACAACATAAGAAAAACAGAAAAAATATAAAATATTTAATATATATAATACATACTTGGATATGTAATTTATAAATATTTGCGTATAAATAAACCGTTGGTTATATAAAACAATCGACCATAAATTATTAATAAAATCCCTTAATATCAGTATTATGAAAAATATAAATTACAAGTAATTATTGGAAAGTGCAATCACATTAAAAAATAAATAAGAATTTTTTTATTTATTTGAATGAAAAAATAATTATTAATAATTACATTACATTGATTGTTGGAAAAATTAATTGTAGAATATTTAATAAATAAGAAATGAATACATTTTTGTTGAACCGAGAGAAGTATAATAGATTTAATAATGAAAAATTAAAAATTAAAACACAAAAGAAATAAAAACAAAATAAAAATAATTTCTTTATATTTTATAATTTATTTATTAATTAAAATTTACAAAATTAAAAGCACAAAAATTAAAAAAATTAATATGGAAATTTAAGAAAAAATAAAAATTGTCAAGAAAAAAATACAAAATTAAAAATGGCAAAAAAATGCAAAAATATATATATAATAAGTAAAAACTACAAAAATCAATTTAATTAAATTGTTTCTATAGAAAACTACAATATTTAATTGTCGAAAAGAAATTCCCTTAAAATCACTACCACCTACCGTTGAATTATCAATATATTTTAAAAATATTTTCATGTTCATTTACCACCTACATTTTCTTTCATATAAATCCCTGAAAATTTTACCAACACACCAAAGGTGTTTAACTTTTAGCACAACACTGGTGTTTTTCATTTTCGGGTGCGTGAAGCTTTTGTGCACAGTTTGTTTATCATCCTTCGTGTAATCGCGACTGTCGAGTGGTTAGAGACTGCCACTGAATTGGATATTCATGGCTGCATTCTAAAATAATACACATTTTTTATAAAACTAACACTCAAAAATTAACTAGTATTTTACTATCATTAAGCTGGGTAATTAATATCTCATATACTGGTATTTCTAAAATACTGGTTGCTCACTTGGCTGGTATATGCACTAGTAGCACTTTAGTTAACTGCTAATATTTTTCTCTGCAGGGTATACATTGTTTAGATATGTACACAGGTACATACGCGACGGCGGTAGGTAATGCAAAACGCTTTTAATTAATCAGATTTTATTTTTGCTCACTAATAAATGTGCTGGAAGGTGCTGGCCAGCGTTGTATGAATCACAAAAGTACAATAAATACACTAATATTTGCACATTTATGTATAGATAGACTCTCTGGCGAATAAGCGGCATGTCATAAATGCTTGATAATGCTTGTGTCAATAAACAAAAAAATTGCTATAATAAGAAAAGTAATAACAAAAAATTAAAAAATAATAAAAAGTAAATAAATTGAAGTATAAATGAAGGAGTGAGTATTAGTAAACAAATTTATGCCAACGTCTGCTATTCTACATATAAACATGTGTGTGAACAAATGTCTTTCACTTAAAAATAAATTAAGCAAAAATTAGCGGACGAGCAGACCAGCGAAGCTCGGCCGCTTGCTAATTATATATATAATATATACATATATATATTTATTTGGGTCATAAATTGAAAAAAATTGATAAAATAATTAAAAAAAAATAATAATTATATTTTTGTAAAAATTTAATTAAATAGTATAAGAGCTTATAATTGCTGTATAAGCTTTCTATTATATGAAAAAAGAAGCGTGTATGCACTTGTAGTCGAGTGGAGAATCGATCGATTTACTGCGAATTCAACTATTTAAGGGGAATTGCTTATTTTTTTGCGATTACAAATTCAAGTGCAAACAAACATTTACACATATACATATTTAGATGACGTTTATGTAAGCCTTTTTTATAGCTATAACCGTTAAACGGTAAAAATAATTAATATTTCTTATACATTTTTGTTGATTGCGGGTTTGTTTTCGAATATAAAGTATTTTGAAGGTGTCTTTTGGAAGAAGAATTTTACCACGTATTGGGCAGCATTTAATAATAAATTAGTTGAGGCAATAAGAACTAATTTAATTGTTTTATTTGTTATAAAAAAAAATTAAATATAATAATTAAAAAATACTTTTGTTAATAAAATTCTATTGTGTATGACTGAAATTGAGATTTTTTTATATATTCTAGAGATCTTTTTTTAACGCGCTCGAAACACAAAATATTTCTAATTAAATTTCTACACAATATTTGCCTTTTTACTTAAACACATTTCTTCACATGTGAAAAAAAAATATATGTATATAATATATCAGCGCCTGCTTACTTGGCCCAGTTTGTAACAAGAAAGTATTAATGAAAAAAAGCATATATATATATATATATGTAATTAGCAGCATCTATCCAACCAGCTGATTAAAAGCTCATCAAGTTTTATTTACGGCTTCCGGTTGGCTATTTAACAAAATAAAAGAATCGTAACAGAAAAATAAAATAAAATAAAAATTCTCAAAGAGAATTTCCCCTGAGTAGCGGCATTTTACCTTGCCTACGGCCTTGAACATCCCGTGCACTTTTGGCCTGTGAAGTACAAAGCTTAGCTAATTAATTACTACAATATTTTTTCTATGATTTTTATGGCTTTCATGTTTGATAGCAGCGAACTCTCTTAATAATTTCAAAAACCCGAAGCGCAATACACATAAAAAACTAAAATAAAAAATTGGAATAAAATACTCACGTTGTTAGATTACCACCACAGACATGTTCATATGTATGTATTCACATATACACAAATGTAAGAACACAAAATTGCGCTACACAGCTGGCAACGGAAGTTGTCCATACATTACACGGGTTATTTATAATTCTCCTGAGTAAAAAATCGAAACAGAAATTTAAATCAATATGCCGCAAGCAACTCCCAATAGACTAATTCGTGCATGTCGAATGATCGAGCAGTTTACAGCTTAATTAGCGAGCGCTTAAAATGCTTATGTGCATGCTGGTTCCCATATGATTTGTATGTGGTTATTTAATTCAGTTCAATACAAAATAAAATAAACAAAATTATAAAATAATAACAAAAAACAAATAAAAAATAATTAAATTTAATTTTAAAAATTTTCATTCTATTTTATTTCAATAAAATGATAATTAACAAAATAAAATAAAACAAAATAAATTAATTAATTAATAAAAAAAAATTAAAATATCATATAATAAAAAAAAATTGTTTCAACTGTAACAAAGAGTCAATTATATATGAAATAAAAAATAGAAAAAAAAATAAAATATGGTATGAAAAAAATAATAATAATAAAATAAAAAAAGTAAAAAAATAAAATATAGCATAAAAAATAAGTATAGTAAAATAAAAAAATAAAATCAAATAATATAAAAAATAAAATAAAAAACTAATTATAGAATCTGCTAAAATTTGACGAAAAATACACTTTCCAATAGCTATAATCCTAACGTTTCATGTTGCAAAAAATGCTCTTGAAAACTTAATACTAATTAAGGCTAATATGTGGAATAAGCGATTTGCACCTTCTCTGCTTTTCATTTAAAAATTTATAGCGGTTAAAAAAAAACATAAAAATCGAAAGAACTTTTTTATTATTTCCTGTCTGTATAACACAGTGATATATACAGTACGTATGTAAATATGTATTTAGCCACCAAATCAGAACATTTAATTTGCACTCAACTAACGGTGAACTGAGTAATTAGCAATTATAGTCACTCGCTTTAGAATGTTCGTATGCAAAAAGGTCAATAATTAACGCTAAATAGAAATGATATATAATTTAAATTGGCATTTATGCCAACACTTTTGGCATACCAAACGACCTTCGGATAACAACACCACAAATGGTTAAATTGCGCACAGAGACATAAATGCTAATTATATACAGTTATGAAAGGAGAGAAGGCATACAAAGTTAGTAAAGT